TCCTCCTCCTCCTCCTCCTCCTTCTCCTCCTCCTCCTCCTCCTCCTCCTCCCCTCCTCTAGGCTGCTTATCAATACCCGATCTAGTCGATTGTTCGTCTTGCCGCGAGGCTCTTCTTCTCGAGGTGGCCTCCGAGCACAGTCCCTTTTTTCGCCAGCAAGGCAAGGGGTTCTCGCCGCTCCTTTAGCTTCGCCTTCAGGACCTGCGCTGCACCGCCTCTCGAGCCCGATGCTAGTCTTTTTTGTTTTTTTGGTCTCAGCCCGAAGTTGCTGTCGTTTGGATCCGAACTTCAGTTTGAGCTCCGCAGTGTCGCTCGTCCGCCAGAGGTATTTAATCGGCAGCCCGTGGCGCCTCGAGACGAGTGCTAGTGTTTAGACCCGCGCCTGCGCCAGCGGGGCAGGGATCGCTTTTAAGGAATGGCCTCCGCAGCATGCTTCAAGGGAGGAAAAAACACCCGGATACGATAATCGGCGTTTACTAAGCGGCCCTGGGCGTTTAGTAAATAGCCTTGCCCTGTTCAATTCCTTCCTTGGGGGCGCTTGCTAAACGGCTTCACTTGTCTGGGTGGTTGTTATGGGGGTGGATTTTCTGCCCGCCCCAGTGAGCAGTCAAGGATCGCGAAGCCGGGACCAGCAGGGGCCTGGTTACAGACTTCCCCTGGAGGATGTGAGCGGAAGGTCACCTCACTCTCGCGCCGTCTCGCTCCCCCTTCTTCTCTTCTTCTCGTTCCGCTCCTCGAGGTCAACTCACCAACTGGAACATATCCCGTTCCCTATGATTTGCATCGCCTCATCTCGATGCCAATCTTAAGGGCTCCCTGAGTTTCGGAGGGCGCATTCCTAAGCTTGTCATTGCCCTGCAGCCTGTCGGTGTCAGGGATAGGGATAAGTTCGAGGCTGCTTATCAACACCCGATCTAGGCGATTGTTCGTCGTGCCGCGAGGCTCTTCTTCTCGAGGTGGCCTCCGAGCACCGCCCCTCCTCCTCCTCCTCCTCCTCCTCCTCCTCCTCCTCCTCCTCCTCCTCTTCCTCCTCCCCCCCGTCCTCCTCCTCCTGCTCCTCCTCCTCCTCCTCCTCCTCCTCCTCCTCCTCCCCTTCTCTAGGCTGCTTATCAATACCCGATCTAGGCGATTGTTCGTCGTGCCGCGAGGCTCTTCTTCTCGAGGTGGCCTCCGAGCACCGCCCCTTTTTTTTCCGCCAGCAAGGCAAGGGGCTGCTCGCCGCTTCTTTCGCTTCGCCTTCAGGACCTGCGCTGCCCCGCCTCTCGAGCCCGATGCTCGTTTTTTGTAACTATCCTGGCGAAGGTCCCAACCATATGCAGGTGTGGGTACTCCAGATTTCGTAATAAAAGGGAGGGGGTCTGGACCCCCCAAGACAAGCCATTTCAGACCCCCCCCCGTGGGAGAGCCCTCCAACACATCGTCCCCAGACCCCCCCAGGCTCTCCAAGATAGCCTGGAAGAGACCCCCGAAATGAGACCCCCCTCCCTTTATTAGGAAATCTGGAGTACCGTAATTGTGAATATCTGCTTCGGTGAAGCTCCCTATGGGGCCACGAAGCGCTGCACTGGGCGGGGGGGAACGCTGTACTGTGTGGGTGGTGTGCCGAATTGGGTTTCCGGGACGCACGCGGACGGTCCCACTGAGGGCTTCGGTGGAGCTCCCTATGGGGCCACGACGCGCTCTCCTGAGTGAGTGAAACTGCCAAATTGGGTTACCGGGGCGCATGCGGACGGTCCCACTGGGGGCTTCGGTGAGCCCCCTTATGGGGCCACGAAGCCCTGCACTGCGCGGGTAAAAATGCCAAATTACATTTCCCGGACGCATGCGGACGGTGGCACTGGGGCCTTGGGTGGAGCCCCTGATGGGGCCGCGAAACGCTGCCCTGGGTGGGTGAAAATGCCAAATTGGGCTTCCGGGACGCATGCGGACGGGGGCACTGGGGCCTTCGGTGGAGCTCCCTATGGGGCCACGAAGCGCTGTACTGGGTGGGTGAAACGCAGGGAGGAGGGGGAGGAGGGCCACGAAACGCTGTACTGGGTGTGCGGGACGCATGCGGACGGTAGCGCTGGGACCTTCGGTGGGGCTCGCTATGGGGCCACGAAGCGCTGCACTGGGTGTGCGGGACGCATGCGGACGGTAGCACTGGGACCTTCGATGGGGCTTCCTTTGGGGCCACGAAACGCTGCACTGGGTGGGTGAAACGCAGGGAGGAGGGGGAGGAGTGCCACGAAACGCTGTACTGGGTGTGCGGAACGCATGCGGACGGTAGCGCTGGGACCTTCGGTGGGGCTCCCTATGGGGCCACGAAACACTGTACTGGGTGTGCGGGACGCATGCGGACGGTAGCGCTGGGACCTTCGGTGGGGCTCCCTATGGGACCACGAAGCGTTGTACTGGGTGTGCAGGACGCATGCGGACGGTAGCACTGGTACTTTCGGTGCGGCTCCCCATGGGGCCACGAAGCGCTGTACAGGGTGGGTGAAACGCAGGGAGCAGGGGGAAGAGGGCCACGAAACGCTGCACTGGGTGTGCGGGACGCATGCGGACGGTAGCGCTGGGACCTTCGGTGGGGCTCCCTATGGGGCCACGGAGCGCTGTACTAAAGCGCTCTACTGGGTGTGCGGGACGCATGCGGACGGTAGCACTGGGACCTTCGGTGGGGGTCCCTATGGGGCCACGAAGCGTTGTACTGGGTGGGTGAAACGCAGGGAGGGGGGGGAAGAGTGCCACGAAACGCTGTACTGGGTATGCGGAACGCATGCGGACGGTAGCGCTGGGACCTTCGGTGGGGCTCCCTATGGGGCCACGAAGCTCTGTACTGAGTGTGCGGGACGCATGCGGACGGTAGCGCTGGGACCTTCGGTGGGGCTCGCTATGGGGCCACGAAGCGCTGTACTGGGTGTGCGGGACGCATGCGGACGGTAGGGAGGAGAGGGAAGAGGAGGAAGATGAGGAGAACGCGGGGACCGTCTCTTCAAAACGAGGACCCAACACCACAGGATGGTTGGGGAAAAAACAGCTTGAGACATCGCCCTATCCCTATGTTTAGCATCACCCTGCCCTGGTGGTGATCTTAGGGATTCCCTCAGTTTCTGAGGGCCCATCCCTGAGATTGTCATCGCCTTGGGCTTGCCGATCTTAGGAACAGGGGTCAGTTCGAGGCTGGTTATTTTGGTCTCAGTCCGAAGTTGCTGTCATTTGGATCCGATCTTCAGTATTAGCTCTGCAGCGTCGCTCGTCCGCTAGAGTTTTTTCCGAACCATCCTGTGTTGTTGGGTCGTCGTTCTGAACAGACAGCGCCCCGTGCCCCTCACTCACTCCACCTCTCCCTTCTCCCTCCTCCCATCCCTACCTCTGCCCTTCGCATGTCAACCGTTCTGGTACACCCCATCACACGTTTCGTGGCCCCACCGGGAATTCAACCGAAGGTCCAATTGGCACCGTTCGCATGCGTCCCCGCCACCGCTTTCGGCACACCGCTCACACGTGTCGTGGCCCTAGACGGAACTTCACTGAGGGTCTTGGTGGCGCCGTTCGCATGCGTCACCGCCACCCATTTCGGCACATCCCTCGCACGTTTCGTGGCCTCGCATGCGTCCCCGCAGCCCATTTTGGCACACCACTCTCGTTTCGTGGCCCCATACGGAACTCCACCGAAGGTCCCTGTGGCGCCGTTCGCATGCGTCCTTGCCATCCATGTTGGCACACACCTCACACGTTTCGTGGCCCACTGTGGAGCTCCACCGAAGGTCCCAGTGGCACCGTTCGCACGCGTCCCCGCCACCCACGTCGGCACACTCCTCACACGTTTCGTGGCCCTACAGGGAGCTACACCGAATGTCCCAGTGGCACCGTTCGCATGCGTCCCCGCCACCCATTCCGGACTCCTCATACGTTTCGTGGCCCCGTAGGGGGGCCCTAGCGAAAGTCCCAGTTGCACCATGTGCATGCGTTACCATCCACCCATTCCGTCATGCCTCTCACATGCTTCGTGGCCCCTTTAGTGAGCTACACCGAAGGTTTTGGTGGCACCGTTCGCATGCGTCCCCGTCACCCATGTCGGCACACCCTTCACACGTGTCGTGGCCCCATGGGGAGCTCCACTGGAGGTCCCAGTGGCACCGTTCGTATGCGTCCCCGCCACACATGTCGGCACACCCCGCGCACGTTTCGTGGTCCACAGGGATCTTCACCGAAGGTCCCAGTGGCACCGTTCGCACGCGCCCCCACCACCCATGTCAGGACCCCCCTCGCATGTTTCGTGGCCCCTTAGCGAGCTTCACACAAGGCCCCAGTGGCGTCTCTCGCATGCACCCCCCGCCCCCATTACGGCACACCGTCGCGGGAGCTCTACCGAAGGTCCAGTGGCGCCGTTTCGCACGGTTCGTCGCTCCACAGGATCCCCACCGACAAAGATATAAACCGCGAGCTCACAATTGCATATGGTTGGGTCCGTCGGCAGTATTGTTTAGCGGTGGCACATGGCGCCTCGAGACCAGTGCTCGTTTTTGTACCCGCATCAGCGCCAGCGCGGCAAGGTCAGTTCTTAGGTGTGGCATCCGCAGAGTCGCATGCCACGGGCATTCATATGCGCGGTCTTGGCGCTGGGGGGGAGAAGGCGAACCCGCGTGAGGAAGTCTGCGCTTGCTCGGCTCGCCGTGCAGGCCGACCAGCCTTCTCAGAGTGCGCAACGCAACGGATCCGTACATAATGGAGGATGGCGATTAATACATGACCGGGGGTCGTGTTCACGCGGCGGCGCCCGGGATGACGATTAGAAAAAACCGGCCGCGGGCTGGAAAACTATTTCTTTAAATCGTTTTCCTCCAGTCAGAATCTTGTGCAGAAGTAGCAGGCAACTTTTTCTTAAATCGTTCGCTCCCGTTTTTCCCGGAAAGGGCGCGGGCCCAGGGTTCTCTTTTTCTATGTAAACAATGTCCCCGTGCCCAACTTGAAGGAGGCCGGCGAAATTTTTCCTTGATAAATATCGAGGTCGAAGGAGGCCGGCGACATTATTTTTGAGGATGTCTCGAGCGAAACGCTTGTTTTTGAAATCCCGATCGATAAATCACAGGGTGCGGGCCACTTTTTCGTGTGTTGAGGATGTCTCGAGCGAAACGCTTGCTCCGCAGAGTTTGCCGAGGATGTCTCGAGCGAAACGCTTGTTTTGCAGAGCCGACCGCGACGCGGAAAAGCGCCCCGCGCGAAGGAATTTCGATGATGTCTCGACTAATTCGTTGTTTTTTACGATTTCCTGGATTTTGGCAGGATGTCTCGAGCGAAATGCACGACCCACCCTAGCACGACCATACCCCAGCACGACCACACCCCAGCACGACCCCACCCCAGCACGACCCCACCCCAGCACGACCATACCCCAGCACGACCACACCCCAGCACGACCCGACCCCGACCCCAGCACGACCCTACCCCAGCAAGACCACACCCCAGCACGACCACACCCCAGCACGACCTCACCAGCAGCACGACCACACCCCAGCACGACCACGCCCCAGCACGACCACGCCCCAGCACGACCACAGCCCCAGCACGACACACCCCAGCACGACCACCCCCCAGCACGACCACCCCCCAGCACGACCACACCCCAGCACGACCACTCCCCAGCACGACCACACCCCAGCACGACCACACCCCAGCACGACCACACCCAGTCGCACCCCCGTGGAATGTTTCGTGGCGTGTCTGGTTGAGTGGTTGCCTGTTCGTGGGGTGTCTCGTGGAATGTTTCACGGGGTGTCTCGTGGAATGTTTCGTGAGGTGTCTCGTGGAATGTTTCGTGAGGTGTCTCGTGGGATGTTTCGCGGGGTGTCTCGTGGGATGTTTCGTGAGATGTCGCCCAGTTGGGTATCGTGAAAACATGACCATGCTGCACATGTCTTTATCCCTTTCCGGGTTCGTGGGTCCATCATGTTTTATTAACCGTCATCCCGCATTACCCGTGGGTCCACGACTCGTCGAGAACGGACGCTGTTGAGAGGGGAGGCGGCCGCAGAGGAGGAGAGGGACGGAGAGCCCCGCGCGCCCGCGGGCGAAGAGCAGCACACGTACGGGCAGCCATGGCCCGATGTCATGGGCCATGCCGCGGGCGCCAGTGGTCGGATGCCATGGGCCGCCCCTGGGCCATGCCGTGGGCGCCATGGTCCGATGTCATGGGCCATGCCGTGGGCGCCAGTGGTCCGATGCCATGGGCCGCCCCTGGGCCATGCCGTGGGAGCCAGGCGTCAGATGCCATGGGCCACGCCTCCCTCCTGGCTGCAGAGCGCCCCACCGTCCTCGTCGCTGCCAGGCCGCCCGTGGCAAGGAGCCGCGGCGGGGCAGCACTCCAGAGACGGGCGTCGTTCACCCTTTGGGCTCTTGAGGTCCTCAGCACGCCGCCTCGCCGCATGTGCATGGAGCGCGCTTCTTTCTTGCTTGGGGCATACTGGGCATTGTAGCCCCTGGCCCGCCCCCCTATGACGTAACGCCCCTCCCCCCCAGTGCGCTCCGGTCACTGCCGCCGCGCGCACGGCGGGGGGGAGGCTTTACATTTTCCCCCCCCCTGCTGGCCCCTCCCCCCCTCCCTCATATAATGCCCAGTGTCGCCGAAACTGAAGAAACGCGCTCATGGCAGCTTTCTGAGCCACGCCCGATCCAAGCAGCGCTGCGTCTGCTACGATCAGATTTATGACGGCAGCACGGCGCTCCCCGCGCGCAGCGTGGCATCTCACCAACACCACGTCAGGGTTTTCAGTCCTTTCTGTCACAACAGACCTAAGGACAAACAAAGATCCCTGATTCCTTCGTCCCTCGCTGCCAGCAGGGTTCGACAGTCCTTGGCCGACTGAATGCAGAGGTTAGTGCTGAACTGCCCTCGTAAGGGCTAGGTGCGACTCTCTTTGTGGGTCTACCAGCGCTCAATCTCCCGCTACTTCATCTAGCTTCTTCTGGCCACTCTTCTGTTCTCGGCTGGGCCCGCTCCCGGTCAGCTTTTCCGCCGTCGCCCTCCGCCGAGGGCGCGATCCTATGGTGCCGCTAGCGATGTGGGCCCACAGTGGAAAGGAGAGGCTGGTGAAAGGGTCAGGGTGAATGAGTTTCATCATGGGCCGAGTTCCCGCCACCACTATTACAGGCAGGAGAGGGGGAGGAGGAGGAGGAGGAGGAGGAGGAGGAGGAGGAGGAGGAAGGAGGAGGAGAGGAGGAGAGAGGAGGAGGAGGAGGAGGAGAGGAGGAGGAGGAGGAGGAGGAGGATGAGGAGGAGGAGGAGAGGGGAGGAGGAGGAGGATGAGGAGGAGGAGAGGAGGAGCATGAGAGGAGGAGAGGAGGAGGAGGAGGAGGAGGAGGAGGAGGAGGAGGCAGCAGGAGGAGGAGGAGGAGGAGGAGGAGGAGGAGAGGGCAGAAGGGAGGAGGAGGACCTCCCCATCCTCCAGTCCCCCCCGTCCTTGCCTGTGGCAGTGGTGGTGGAACATCGGCCCATCACTTCAGCCTTGGACTTTTGGCTTCCGGAGGGCGCTCTCGGCCAGACCGCCGCCTCCCAGGGCGGGCCTCTCCCCGCGCTCCGCCCTCCGAGGCCTGCTCGTCGCTCTCTCGCATCCTGCTGGTGAGCGTCACCTGCGAGTGCAGTCAACCCGCACACGTAGTAAGGAGGGGCAAACTTCCCAAGGGCACTCTGGATCGCTCAATCATCGCCCCCCCCCTTGGCGTGCCCAGGGGGGTTGGCCGCGGCGCGTCCGTGGGGGTGCCGAGGGGGTCCAGGGTCCGTTCCCTTCCCCGCTGGGGCGCGGGGGTGGTGCCGGGGGGGGGGGCGTTGGCCGCGCCGCGTTTTCACGTTTGTCACCCCCGGGTTGATGAATAAGAAATTCGGAGTGCGCTTGCATCCTTGCCCCTTCGGCCCATGCTGAGCGACTTTCTCTGGCCAGCCTCACTCGAAAAACGTTAGCAGGGGCCACCAAGGACCCTGCATCCTTACTGCGCATCCTTCTGATACGGGTTGACTGTATTGGTGAGCGTCACCAGTGAGTAGAGGCACCGCCACAATGAATCTAACGTGTACTGCTGGCCAGGAGGCTGTCTTCGATGCGTTGCTGCAGTCTCGCCAGCTCGTAGCGGCTTTACGTTGACAGCCACGCTGGCTCGCGCTTTTGCACCGATGTCTGGAGCACGGATGCCCAGTCAGATGCAGTGCACTGTCACCCTGTCACGCTCTCCCGCGTTCCTCCGCCCCCCTGTTTCCCCCCCCCCCCCTCTCCTGGGAGCTGCCTCCTCCAGTCCGTGCGGAGACGGGCCAGAGTGAGTCGGCAGACGTCTCCCACGCTCGAACAGCAGGAAAAAAGTGGAGAGACCAGTCCGACCACACGGGAGACCGCGGTTGGAAGCAGGGTGGCCCGAGGAAGTCCCCAGAGGCCCCCAGAATACGCCCAGGAGGCCTCTAGAAGGCCTTAAGAAAGCCTGAAACAACGTTTGTGAGGCCCCCAGAGGCTCTCCAAGGAGGAGCCTCCGCAAAAAAGAGCTGAGGAGGATGGGGAGAATGCGCAGGCATGGAGGAAGGATAACGAATCACATTATTATAGCGGCGATGTCGGAAACGGCAACAAGGAGCTATCTCTAAATTGTCGGCTTGACCTTCCTGCTATTCCGCCTGCGTACCAAACTTCAAGGACCAAGGTGCATGGCGCCAAGCGCCACTGCAGTCTTGTATATATATATATATATACACACACACGTAGATATACATACATAGTGGTTCTCGGGCGTGAGGTCCTCCAGATCTGGAGTGGTCTCAAGCAGAGTCTCCCCCCTGCTCTCCCGTACTCGGATGGTCTCCCGCACAAGTGGGCTCTCGCGTGGTCTCCTTCCTGGTCTCCCGCCTGGCCCCCCCCCCCCCCCCGTTTCGCCTCTCCCGTGGTCTCCCCTGCGGTCTCCCTTCTGGTCTTGGCCCCCCTCCTCGTAACCACTCTCGTAGAGGGCCTCAATCCTGGCCTCCCTCGTGGTGTCTCTCTCGCAGCGCTCTCTCTCGCAGTGCTCTCCACATCGCTCCTCGCTGTCTGCGGCACTCCTCGAGAAGCCAGCCGCCCACGGGCCCCCCGCCGCCCCCAGAGGCGCTCCTCCCTCCCGCAGCCGTTCTGGCGCCACGTACACCGCCCCCCCTGGGCCAGACCCGCGGAACGCAAGCGGAAAGCGAAACCTCAGACCCGCCGGGTCTTGGGTCTCTCTGGGCTGCCCGCGCCCCGACCCCCGCGCGCGTGACGCCAGAGGCCTGCCTGCAGGCCCTGGGTGGTGGGCCAGTGTTCCACCATCACCACCAATAGGTAGGATGGGGAGAGGGGAGGACGGGGAGGTCCTCCCCCTCCTCCTCCTCCTCCTCCTCCTCCTCCTCCTCCTCCTCCTCCTCCTCCTCCTCCTCCTCCTCCCCCTCCCCCTCCTCCTCCTCCTCCTCCTCCTCCTCCTTCTCCTCCTCCTCCTGCCTCTCCTACCTGTGGTAGTGGTGGTGGAAAATCGGCCCATCATTGGGAGCTGCCTCCGCCCTGGGCGCTCGTGAGACAGATGCTCGAGCCGCCGCTCCTACCCGCGGAGGCGCGGGTGCGGCAGTCCGAGGCTTGCGCCGAGGCGCCGTCGCAGGCTCCTGCCCCGGGGGGCGGGGGGTGGGTCGGGTGTCTTCGTCGCTTCCTGGGCGTTCCCCTGCCTCGGGACTGAGGGGGCGAAGACTGACATACACAGAAAAACTCGGACTTCTGCGCGGGTTTCTCGGATCCGCGCTGGACCCTCCTGGCGGCGCCCCTGGCGCCGCGCCTGGCGCGCTCCGCGCGCCAGGGAGGGGGGGGGTCCAGCGCCGATCCGAGAAATCCGCGTGGACCTCAGAGTTTTTCTGTTCATGTCCTTCTTTGAAGGCTTCGAAATTGGCACCAACATCAAAACAGGGGGGCGCGCCCACCGGGGGAAGATGATCATAGATTTCTCTGTTGGTGGCAATATTTCGGCCGCCTAGGAAGCCAGAGTATTACCACCATCACCGAGATCGGGATCATCTCTCCTCGGTTGAGGCACGCCGCCAATTTTGGTGCTGGTGTCAACCTCTGGGCCTGCCACTTCTCCGTTCCCCTGGGGACACAGTCCAGCAGCTGCGCGCCTCTCCGAGAGAGCTGCCCGGGCTCCCCGGCTCGTCCCGAGGAAGGCCGCCAGAGGCCGGCGTCATGGCCCGGCCTCCGACCCCTCGCGTCGGGGCGCTCTTGGGCGCTCTCGTCCTCCAGGGCCCTCACCAGGCCCTCGGGGAGAACACGCGGCCCTGGGGAAGGGTTCGGGACTTCCTGCCCTGACCTTCCAGGGAGTTATTTTTCCCGGAAAGGGCTCAGGCCCAGGGTTCTCTTTTAGTATGTAAACATAGTCCCCCGTGCCCAACTTGAAGAAGGCCGGCGGATTCTTTCCCTGATAAATATCGAGGTCGAAGGAGGCCGGCGGATTAAAATTTGAGGATGTTTCAGGCGAAACGCTTGTTTTTGAAATCCCGATCGATAAATCACAGGGTGCGGGACACCTCAGCACGACCACACCCCAGCACGACCACACCCCAGCACGACCACGCCCCAGCACTACCACACCCCAGCACGACCACACCCCAGCACGACCACACCCCAGCACGACCACACCCCAACACGACCACACCCCACCACGATCACACCCCACCACGACCACACCTCAGCACGACCCGATCGATGAATCACAGGGTGCGGACCACCCCAGCACGACCACACCCCAGCACGACCACACCCCACGCACGACCCACACCCCAACACGCACCACACCCCACCCCACGATCCAGCACGACCCCACCCCAGCACGACCACGCCCCAGCACGACCACACCCCAGCACGACCACACCCCAGCACGACCCCACCCCAGCACGACCCCACCCCAGCACGACCCCACCCTAGCAAGACCACACCCCAGCACGACCACACCCCAGCACGACCTCACCACAGCACGACCACACCCCAGCACGACCACGCCCCAGCACGACCACGCCCCAGCACGACCACGCCCCAGCACGACCACGCCCCAGCACGACCACCAGCACGACCACCCCCCAGCACGACCACCCCCCCAGCACGACCACCCCCCAGCACGACCACCCCCCAGCACGACCACACCCCAGCACGACCACTCCCCAGCACGACCACACCGCCTTGGTTGAGTGGTTGCCTGTCGTCGTGGAATGTTTCGTGGGGTGTCTCGTGGAATGTTTCGCGGGGTGTCTCGTGGAATGTTTCGTGAGGTGTCTCGCGGAATGTTTCGTGAGGTGTCTCGTGGGATGTTTCGTGAGGTGTCTCGTGGGATGTTTCGTGAGGTGTTGCCCCGTTGGGTATCGTGAAAGCGTGCCCATGCTCCACATGTCTATATCCCTTTCCGGGTTCTTGGGTCCATCATGTTTAGCACTGGAGGCCTAAAGACCTAAAGAACTGAGCGAAACAGCCTAAAACCAAGACGTATAATAGCTTTGGGATAGGTTTTTAAGTCGGGTGCTCTTTTTAAGCCCTCCTGGAAGGTCAGGGCGGGACAGGGCACTGCAGGGATCAAAACGTTCCCCAAGCAGTGCCTGCACTCAGGGGTGCTCCCTTCTGTCTCAGGCCACTGGGTGGGCGTTCCAGCAGGGCTTCGCCACGCTGGCGCCCGTGCCTCCGCTCGTGAGCGTGTGCCGGGCGGGTGTCCCGAGGTTTCGCCACGTTGGCGTCCGTGCCCGCTCGTGGGTGCCTCGTGCCGCCTCGTGCGTGCCTCGTGGGCGCAGCACAGCTTGCACAGCATCGCTTGCACCACCCAGCTTGGGCTGCGTAGCTTGCAAAGCATAGCTTGCCCCACACGGCACAGCTTGCGCTGCATATCTTACCCCACGCCCCTTGCACGATGTGGTGGCTCTCGCCACACAGCTCACACCAGCTGGGTTGCACCGCACAGCTTGCACCGCATAGTCTCCACCGCACAGCTTGCACCGCATAGCCTGCAACGCAGAGCTTCCATCTCCACAGTGCAGTGTCTCACCGTTTGGGGTCCACGCCGGTTGGCACGGAGTGTCTGTGCTCCGAGGACTCGGAGCTGCGGTGCGCGAGCCCGAACTGCCACTACCTGGTGCACTCCAGTGGTAGCCCCGAGTACGGGCCCTTCTGCTGCGGGCGGTGCTGGTCGCGCCACGTGGGCGTCATGCGCGGCAGAGTGGCGCACGGCCCGAACTGCGAGCGGCGGCCCGCGCCGTCCACGACGCGCCGGGCGCGCTACGTTCCCACCGCCGCGGACCAGGAGATCATCGACGAGGCGCTCATGTCGCGGGGGCAGCCGGCCCGTGCGATGGCCTCCGCCCCTTGGAACGGGCAGCCTCCGGCCGAGGCGATGCCGGCCCAGGCGTTGGCAGCCCCCTCCTGGAGCGGCGATTCGGCCCGCGATCTGGGGCGCGCGCAGGCTCCTGCCACAGCGCCGGCGCCCAGGCTCGCTCAGGCTGCCAGCAGCTGTGCGGTGCTGCCAGAGAAAGTGCCGGCGCCGCCGTGGGAGGGCGCATGGGAGGCCCGAACCATCCAGTGGTCCAAGCAGTCGGCCGCGCAGCCACCGCCCCCATCCGAGCCTCCGCCCAACAGGGCCGAGCCGGACGGGTGGCCCAACCAGTCGGCCACGCAGCCGCGCCCGCCGCCACCACCGCCACCGCCACCTCCGCCCGGCCCTCCGCCCTGCAGGGCCGAGGTGGAGTGGTGGCCACCGCCACCCCCACCCGAGCCGTCGCCTGGCAGGGCCGAGCTGGAGGGGTGGCCCAAGCAGTCGGCCGCGCAGCCGCGCCCGCCGCCACCGCCACCCCCACCCGACCCTTCTCCTGGCAGGGCCGAGCCCGAGGGCGTTCGGCGTTGTGGCCGGTGGGGGCGCCAGCCGCTGCCACCGTCGGAGGAGTGGTGGCCGCCGTCGCCGCCCGACGGAGGCGAGACGTGCGAGGCAGCGGCCTCGCCTGTCGCGTCGCCCAGTCGGGCCACTTGGCCCCCGCCACCTCCGCCGAAGGCTGTGCCCGCCAGCGCCGAGCCCACCATCACGGAGCTGGAGGCCATCGTCGACGTGCTCGGCAGGTGCGGCGACCGAGCAGGCGCCGAACGCTACAGGCAGCTGCTGGAGGCGAGGCGGCCCTCCGCTGGCGCCACAGGCAAGGCGGCGCCACCGCCCCCGCCACCGACAGGACCACGATCTTCGACGCTCCGCCCGGCGGCTGCCAGTCAACCTGCCGCTGTCAACTGCCTGCGGCAGCCGCCACCGCCACCGCCGTGTCGCCAGGTCGGTGCTGCCATGAACACCCTCAGCATTGGGGAGCTGCCCGCGAAATCACCGCCGCTCTTCCAGGCTTATGATGTTCCAACCTACGTTCTAGCATTGGTCACCAGAAAACACTTCGAGCACCAAGAAAGTATCACAACTGGACGGTTCTCGCGTGCTGGGCCCTGGGAGGGGACACTCGCTCGGCACTTCGCAAGCGTGCCAGGCAGACACTGTTTTGATACTGTTCGGGGTGCCCGGAATTATTTCTGGGATATGGTCCTTCCTCCTCCTCCTCCTCCTCCTCCTCTCCTCCTCCTCCTTCCTCCTCCCTCCTCCTCCTCCTCCTCCTCCTCCTCCTCCTCCTCCCCTCCTCTCCTCCTCCTCCTCCTCCTCCTCCTCCTCCTCCTCCTCCTCCTCCTCCTCCTCCTCCTCCTCAAGGCAGCCAAGCCATTCAGTGCAGTCCCCCTGCGGCACGACGTGAGCACCACCGCCAGCGGCACCAGCGGCGCCAGCGGCTGCGAGAGCAGAGGACGGCCGTCCGCGGAATGGTCGCCGCAGGGCAGCGCCGCGGAGGCGGGCCGGCCCAGGACGTTCGGGTGGCTGGACGGCGAGTGCTGACGGCGGCGCCCGTCGGGGCCCTCTGTGGGCCGCGCTTCCGCCCCCCGCCCTCTCCCTGATGGGCCGTTGTTCCACCACCACTGCCATAGGCAGCACGGGGGAGAAGGGAGGATTGGGAGGTCCTCCGGTCCTCCTCCCTCCTCCTCCTCCTCCTCCTCCTCCTCCTCCTCCTCCTCCTCCTCCTCCTCCTCCTCCTCCTCCTCCTCCTCCCTGTGGTAGTAGTGGTGGAAAATCGGCCCATCATCTCCCTCCGCCCTCCGCCTCGGTGGCGCGGTGATGCGGCCCGAGCCGGGCTGGTTGCCCCGCTGCCCTCGACGCCCTCCCCCGGCCGGTGCTGGGGGTGGGGTGGGAGGCAGGACAGAAGCCAGGAGAAGGAAGGAGCGAGACTGGAGGAGGAGGGAGGAGGAGTTGGAGGAGGGAGGAGGAGGAGTAGGAGGAGGAGGAGGAGGGGAGGAGAGGAGGAGGGGGAGGATGAGGAGGAGAGGAGGAGGGGGGAGGAGGATGAGGAGGAGGAGGAGTAGGAGGAGGAAGGAGGAGAGGAGGAGGAGGAGGAGGGGGCGGCCACACCGCCTCTTCCTCCACCTCCTCCTCCTCCTCCTCCTCCCGGGGGCCTTTCCTCCCCCTCGGCACGCAGTCTGGCGCTCCCGGCCTCCTTCCAGAGGGCCTGCCTTTGGCGCGGCAGTGCCTCCATGAGCCTCCCTGGGCAATGCTGATGAGGATCGCTTCTCTCTGCCTTCTCTCTCTCTCTCCCCTCTCTCTCCTCCCTTGCTATAGATGTCGCCGCGCCGTTTGTTCCGACGCGCGGCGCTGCGTCTTGGAGAGGGCGCCGCGGGCACCGGGGCAAACTCCGCCTGGGACGCGGCGGTGCTGCCGTGTGGTTTGCTGCGGTGCCGGCCTCGTTTGTCTGGGGCGCGGGACGCAGGGCTTGCTCTCGGTCTGCCGTGGTGCCGGCGGCGTTCACTCTGGGCACGTCGAGAACAAGCGACGCGGCGACAGGTACACTAGGGGGTCACATGCGAACCCTACCCCTACCCCCCACGATTTCTGAGGTCGAGGGTGGGGTTCACTTCGTTCGGGAGCTCCCGAGCGAAGTGAACCCCACCCTCCCCCTCAGAGATCTTGAGGGATAGGGGTAGGGTTCGCATGTGGCCCCCTATACACATACATCGAAGCCCACTCTCGTCCTGCTCAGAGCTCTTCCTGCTCTACCCCCTGCCGGGCAGGCGGGCGGCCCCCGGGCCGGCGGCAGGCGTGTCCGGACCATAGGCTCCGAGTGCCTGCTGCCAGGTTGGGGGGCCACATGCGAACCCTAACCCTGCCCCCCACGGTGTCGGAGGGTGGGGTTCACTTCGCTCGGGAGCTCCCGGGCGAAGTGAACCCCACCCTCCCCCTCCGAAATTCGGGGGAGCGTACGGCCTGGGTTTGCCAGGACTCGGGTTCGCCATCGTTTTTTGACGACCGCGCCTCGGATTTTGACGAGGAGGAGTTTCGTGGGATGTCTGCAGCGGGAGGCCTCGTCAAAATGCAGGCTCGACCTCGTCATTTTTTTGACGACCTCGTCGGGGATTTCCGAGTCCCCTGTACCCAGGTCTTACGTCCCCTTGAGAAATCGCATGTGGCCCCCTACAGGTGCACCCGCGCACTCGAGGGCACGGCCGCCATTGGGGGCCTCACTTGGCTGCCAGCTCCCAGGCGCACGCTTGGACGGCGGGAGTCTGGCGGCATCGTCGAGACGCGCCAGGCATCGCCGTCGACTGCTTTCATGCCCCGCAGTGGTGTCAAGGCCGCCACGTTTTCAGCCATTGTGGGCCAAATACAGTTGCTGCACGTCGCGTGCATTTCGCACTGCTTGTTGCAGGCTCACCATCCGCACCCACACGGGCACAACCTACGCATCTTGAGCCAGGTCTTGCATGCAGCTGCTGCCCGAAGATAATCCGTAAGGGCTTCGCCCCCTGCCGCCGGCCCCCTCTCTCGGAGAATGGGCCATGGAAGAGCGAAATCATGAGGTCTGGGCGCCGCCGTGAAGCAGTGTCGGGACCTGTTTGTTTTTCGACCCTGACCCGACGGATCTGCGTGAGGGGTGCCGCCGAATTTCAGAAATGTGGCAACTCCCTTGTGTTTTTGGACCCTGACCCTACGGATCTGCGTGAGGGGTGCCGCCGATTTTCAGAAATGTGGCAAATCCCATATGTTTTTGGACCCTGACCCCGCCGATCTGCCTGAGGGGTGCCGCCGAATTTCAGAAATGTTGCAAATCCTTTGTGTTTTTGGACCCTGACCCTGCCGATCTGCGTGAGGGGTGCGACCGAGTGTCAGAAATCGGCAAATCCGATGTGTTTTTGGACCTTGACCCCGCCGATCTGCGTTAGGGGTGCAACTGAATTTTAAACATGTGGCAAATCCTATTTGTTTTTGGACCCTGACCCTGCCGATCTGCGTGAGGGGTGCCACCGAATGTCAAAATGTAGGAAATCCCTTGTGTTTTTGCGCCCTTACCCCGCCGATCTGGGTGAGTGGTGCCACCGAATGTCAGAAATGTGGCCAATCCCCTGTGTTTTTGGACGCTGACCCCGCCGATCTGCGTGAGGGGTGCCGCTGAATTTTAGAAATGTGGCAAATCCTATTTGTTGTTGGACCCTGACCCCGTCGATCTGCGTGAGAGGTGCCACCGAATGTCAGAAATGTGACAAATCCCATGTGTTTTTCGATCCTGACCCCGTCGATCTGCGTGAGGGGTGTAAATTTTTATCCACCCCAGCAGTTCAGAGCATACGTTTTGGGCGTGGTAAAAATGCTCGTTTTAGGCCTCCCCACCTCGCGCGGTCCATCAACAAGGAACAGTAAGCCGCAAGACGTCAACAAGGAACAGTAAGCAGCAAGAAGCAGAACTGTAACAGTGGAAACTGGAAACTGCAACTGGTACAGGAAACTGCGAATTCCCGGACTACAGCCTGGTGGCCCCGCAAGGGGGCCGGCGGGTTTCCCTGATTGGAGGCGCTTGGCAGTATGTATTCAATTGAACGCCCCTGAGGGGGCAGACACCGCCGCCCCACTTTCTTTTTGGAACGCGAAGGTTGCGTGGGGGGCAAATCGGGATGTAGCGGGGGTGTTCACTCAGCTTTGGCTGGGCTTTTGTGAAGTGGGGTCTTAAAGACTTTCAGAAAGCCCCAAGAGAGCCGGAACATGACCTAAAAAAGACGCCCGATTGGACAATAAGGTCTCAGAGGGCCTGGAAAAATACGAAAGTGGGGTCTTAAAGGCTTTCAGAAAACCCTAGGGGAGCCGGAAAATTACCCCCAAAGACGCTAGAAAACCGTAAGAGAGCTTGAACATGATTTAAGAAGGACGCCTGCAAAAGTGTGGACGAAAGCAAGAGGCATACGGAGAGGCGTACAAACGAGATGCGAGTTAGTTTGGGGGCCTCAAAAGGGATTCCGGGGACCCCCTGGGCGCGCCCAGGACGGCCCAAGAAAGCCCCAATAATGCTGCCAGACGGCCCAGGCCGGGGTCGGGAGGCGTGGAGGACAGCCGCAGAGAGCGCCCGCTGATTCCAACGTGCTTCCAAGAGCCCGCGAAGACGCACGTGAGCTCGAAACGAAGCAAGAATAGAGGCTGGACAGGGCCAGAATGGACATACTCATTTGTGTTTTACGAGGTTTTTTGCGTGTTGTTTTTTTGTAGTCGAAGTGGGCCGAGGAGAGGTGGGCGGGCTGCCAGACTGGACCAACATGGTTTGGAGGACGGCCAAGATCGCCCCAGGAGAGCGTCTGGAGGCTTCCAAAATCGAGTCAGTGAGCTCCCGGAGAGGCCTCTGAGAGAGGCCGGCGGCGCCTTGAAGACGAACGTTTCCAACGAGGTGTGTTCTGACGCGGAAATGATGGCCAAAGAGCGCTCATTCCGCAGCTGTGGCCCCCGGGCCAGCGGAATGAGCAGGCCGCGGGGAGGACCCCAGGAGGGGTTGCAAGGGCTCTGAGGAGTGGGTATTGGTGCGAGGAGTTCGTGTGCGCGCAGATTGAGGGGACTGAGTTCGTGCAGACCATGCGGCGGGGATCTCACGCGCCGTTCCCGGTGGGGCGGCGGATCGCTTCGCTCATTCCGCTGGCCCATGCAGCATTACCGCTGGCACTTTCTTGCGTGCTCGCTGGGGTTCAGAAGTCTGTGGGTCGCGGTCGTTTCTCTGAGCTGTCGCGTGAACCTCGCTTTGGGGAGAAGCATTGGCAGGGTAGTGAAAAGGCAATTTTCAACGGAGCACGCCCCGACCGAAGTCCTGTGAGTGCATCCCACCAGCGTGCTTGGGTCGTGGGTCAGGGGCGCGTTGTACGCCTTCCGGGTCCTCTCGGGATGCCTCTTAGGGGAGTCCTGGAGCCTTGCTGGGGGCATCCTGGGGGCTCTCTCTCGGTCTTCTTGGGGGCCTCCGGGGGGCCTCCGGGGGGCTTCTGTGTGACTTCTTAGTCTCCTGTGCTGTCTTGCCAGGTTCTTTGGCGATCTTGGGGGGTTCTTCGGCCGTTTCGGGGCTCTCTCGGGCTCTCTTGGGGGCCTCTGGTGGACGTCCCGGAGCGATCTCGGGGACCTCGGACTGTCGAGCCCAGTAAAGTGGGAACGCTAAATTCTAGACGCTCCGCGTATCCCCACCAGCGCGCTGCGCCTTGTAGCTAATTCGGCTTGCCCGTTGGCCCGGACACCCTTCTCGCTGCCTGCGCTTTCGCTTGCGGCTGCGGCCAAAAAAAGTATCCCCACCAGCCCATCCAGAAACGACGCCCAGGTGAGTAGAGGGCCGTCCTGAGGGGCTTTTTGGCGTCTTGGGTGCCTCGGGGGGGCCTCCTTGGGTCGCCTGGGATATTCTTGGGGGCCTCCTGGGGGCCTCTTGGGGGCCTCTTGGGGCCATCTTGGGGCACTCTTGGGGCCTCCTGGGCGCTTCTTGGGGCCATCTTGGAGGAGATCGATCACAGGAGGGGGTGGCACCAATTGGCGTCCCCCCTTCAGGAGGCCAAAATGGGGCAAACACCAGGGTAAAATAAATGATTTTGGCTTCCTAGCCGAGGCCGTTTTGGACGCCCTGACACCTTCCCGCCCCTCCCGTCCAGGTCCACGGGGAGGGGGTAGGGGGAGGGGTAAACCCCTCCCCGAAGGGGAAGAAGGAGGGGTGGAAGAGGAAACTCCCTAAACCACCAACGCCTAGAGGGCTGGTGGGATTTTTTAAACACGCAAGGGGCATCAATGAGGTCCTCTTGGGCCGTCCTGGGGGCCTCTGTGGGCCATCTTGAGGCCATCTTGGCCGTCGTGGAGCGCCCGTGGGCTGTCCTGGAGCTCCCTCGGGACGCTCCTGGGGCTTTTTCGGGGGTCCTGCATCAGGCGGGAAACGCTGGCACAGACACAAATGTGAATGTTGGCCAGCGTGGGCCCCAAACAGTGTGTGTTTCTACCCGATTATTTTGTGCAATCGATGTGGTGCAATACGTGCTGTGCAACCTACGTGATGCAATCGATGTGTTACAATCCATGTGACGCAATCTATGTTCTGCAGTCGATGCTGCTCCCCAGTCCGTGCTTGCGCTGAAGGGGTCCCGGCGGAAGTTGAAAGATGTGGCGAAAGTTTCGGGCCGGTTTCGGCGGGCGGTTCCCAGGTTCCCAGTTGCTGGTTCTGGGCCGATTTCGGTCGTCCGCGGGGTTCCGCGGGTTCCAGTTTCGGGTTCCCGAGTTCTCGGGTTCCCGGTCGATCTCATCATCGATCTCAGCATCCATCTCACTCGATCGATCTCACCATCGATCTCACTATCGATCTCATTCATTATCGATAGAACCGTCCATCTCATGCAATCGATATCGTTATCGATTTCCCTACCGGTTTCACTCAATCGATTTCACTATCGATCTCACCTTCGATATCACTATCGATCTCTCTCTCTCTCTCTATCAATCTTACTAGACTGATATCGGTGGGCGGCGGGGTTGCTGCGGTTCCAGTTTCGGGGTCCCGGATTCCCGGTCGATCTCACTACCGATCTCACAATCGATATCACTATCGAAATTATGATCGATCGAACTATCGATCCCGCTATCGTTTTTATTATCGATCTCACTATCCATGCCACTCAATCGATCACGTTATCAATCTCATTATTGAGCCCCCTACCGATGTCACTGTCGATCTCATAATCGATCTCACTATCCATGCCACTCAATCGATTTAACTATCGATATCACTATCGATCACACGGTCGATTTCAGATGGATCTCACGATCGATTTAGATATCGATGTCATTATCAAACTCACTATCGATCTCACTATCCGCGTCACTCAATGGATCTCGTTTTTGATTTTACTGTCGATCTCACAATCGATCTCATTAACCATCCATGCCACTCAATCGATTGAACTATCGATAGCACTATCCATCACACGGTCGACCTTACGATCGATCTCACGATCGATATCACTATTGATTTCACTTCCGATCTCAGTCAATCGATGCAACTATTGATCTCACTATCAACATCATTATCGATTTCACGATCGATCTCGTCTCACCATCGATCTCGTTATCGATCTCACGACCGATCTCACCCAATCGTCCTCACCACCACTCTCACTATCGATCACACCATTGATCCTACGATCGATACCGCTTCTCGATCTCACCCAATGGATGTCACTGTTAATCTCACGATCGATCTCATTACCGATCCTTCTATCATCGCCAGCACGGGATAGCCATCGATAGCGCCACGGGACACCACAGGGGGACAGCGGCCTCGCCCTCGCAGCGGCTGGTTCCTTCCTCTGGCCCGCCCGCGCATCTTCGCCCCGCCCGCGCGCACGACGCGAACGCGGAACCGACGCCGATTTCCCGGTGGTGGGGGTCTCCTATCCGCTGCAATCTCACCCCCCAACCTCCAATATATATATATATATAGAGAGAGAGAGAGAGAGAGAGAGAGAGAGAGAGAGAGAGAGAGGGGGGGAAAGAGAGAGAGAGAGAGAAAACAAAAGAAGAAATAAGTAATGAGAGAGAACCAAACAGCTATGAACAAGAAAGAAACGAAGGAGAGAGACAGAGTAGAGAGGTATATATGCACATAAGAGAAGATAGAGAGCAATACATATATATATATATATGTATATATATGTATACTTATACATACATCATTATTATGTGGAGAGAGAGAGAGAGAGACCGGACAAGTAAACAGAAGTCCCGTCGACAGTTGGCTATTGTGGTAGCCAAGGCCGCCATCGCACTCTTGGCGGTGGTGCGCAGTTTGGGGAACAAGGGATGTTGAAACAACCACGCCCCGCCGCTAAACGACTAATGTAAAAGGACGGGGTGGTCAGCATGCGATACGCCACGTCTCTCTGCGCCCCGCGTGGGAAAAGGGCCCGGGTCGGCGAAGCCCCGGTTAGGAACCAGTGGACAAGGGTTTGGCCGCTGAGCGGCTTGCGAACGACGGGGCGTCTCCCGCCGCCGCAACCAGGCCCCGATGACGCGAGAGAGAGAGAGAGAGAGAGAGAGAGAGAGAAAGAAAGAAAGAGAGGGAGAGAGAGAGAGAGAGAGAGATAGAGAGATCGAGAGAAAGAGAGAGAGAGAGAGACAGAGAGAGAAAAATAAACATTTAGAGACATATAACAATTAGACTGGGCTGCAATCCATATTCTGCCAAGGTACCTGCGAAAAGTTCAGGAATCCACTGAGTGGGTTCTCCCTGGTGTGATGCAACATATTTGGTGCAATCTTTGTGGTGCAGTTTTTTTGTTTTTTCTCTCTCCTCTTTTCAAACGAGTTGGCAGCGGCGCCGATTGCGACGAGTGCTTGGCGTTGGCTGGTGCATCTCTGCGGCCGCGCTAGCCCGCGCGTGCTCGCGCGCACAGCGGCCCGCTAGTGCGGCGCGACCGACGCGGCCGCGGTGGTGCTGACCGTTGGGCAATGCCCAGTGGGCACTTCAGTGCGAGTCTGTGAATTGGGAGGGCGCGGTATCATGGCGACGCCGACAACGGTAGACACGATTATGATAGTAGCGATGCTGGTGACGATGGTGGCGATGACGACGGCAAAGCCAATGATGGCGCCGATGATAATCGCGCCCACCG